CTTAATACAAGCGAGTCGTCGTAACTAAGTCCATTCGGCCGTTGCCGGCTCTATACCACGTGCGTCCCTCTCCGGCCGGCGCCACAAAGCCCCCCTAGAGCTGGTAATGGCCAACATCCTAATCCAAGTCCAGGCGACGCATAGCGTCCGACACTTCCGCCAAAGCAAGCAGGTACGGCAGCACACGCCCCTCGCCCTGGGAGAGCAGATGGCGCTGGCGAGCGTGAAGGGCGTGATTGAGGTGTGCGCGCCAAGCACCGTCCGCAACAGGGAGACGCGGAGTCCCGACATCGTGACCGTCGACGACGTTCGTGCCGCGGAGCCTCGCTTGGAACCAGCGCTCGAGCCCCAGAGTCCACTCGCCTGGCCCGACATTGGCGTCCCATTCATCCGGGTGCGGCCACCAAGAACGACCACCCGCCCGACCGATCAGCAACTCGTAGTCCTCCGTGGTTGGGCGATCGACGACGATGCCCTCGCCGGCCCATTGTTCACCGGGCAAAGGTGATCGGGCCTCAGTAGACGGACCAGAGAACACCGAAGCTACGAGGTTGGGAGGGCCGAACTCGAGCGCGAGGCGCCACGCAATGCCCCCGTCTCGAATGAAATGACGAGCGCGGGGCAAGGCGAGCAGATCCTCGACCTGTAGAAGCCAGTCGGACCAGGCCGGAGGCGCATCGGGCGCGCCGGCAAAGCTGGCAGTCGTAGGAGGTGCGGATATACGACCGCGGGCGCCGTGGTCCCAGCGAACACCGCGTTGTACCATCCAGCGCACGAACTCGTCCGTCGCGCCATCGGCGTGGGCTGAACGCCAATGACGGTAGCGCAGCAGCCCGTGCTCGGAAAGCACGATGATGCCCTCGAGCGCAACGGAAGTCTCCACCGAAGGGAGTTGAACCTGGGGCCAGGATACGCCCGGCACAGAGTCTACGACGCGAGGAGACAAAGCCGCGATCTCGGTCCTCCAATCAGTCGGCACTAAGGGTAACGGGCTCGACGACCAGCGAGACGGAGCTGCAGTCCAGCCGGGCGTACGAGCCATAGGGCGCCGCCCAGGGCTGTAGATAGGCGGCGGAATACGCGCCGCCTCCGAAGAGGAGGAAGTCGACGGCCCCGACAGCAGAGCAACGGGAGCGCCATCCATGCGGAGGGCTAGGGCGGGCATCGAAGCCTCCCTTGCCGCTGCCCCACGGATGTTGAGACGCATCCTGCTAAGCAAATCAGGCTCGCTGACGGGTGGTTCACCCGTGACTTGGCGGCCGTCCTGGGATTCCTCTCGGTCTTCGGCATCCGAGTCGTCGACGAGGTCATTAGGGATGACGGGCTCCTGCCGACGCGTGGAGGGGCCCGGGGCCGTATCGGACGTCACTTGCGCGCGAGGCTGCCGAGACAAGTATTGAGCCTCCAGTCGCTTGCGACGCTCTCGCCTACGTCTCGTTGAGGCATTGGCCCTCCTTGTCGCCCGTTCCTGACGCTCGCGCTCGCGCTCGTCCTCGCTCGCGGTAGTGCGTGCTTTGCCTTTACCCTTGGACGGCGTGGGCGAAGGGGTGGATGAAGCGCGTGAAGGAGGAGCGGGAGCCGGACGAACAGCAGGAGGAGAGGAGGAACGCTGCCGCTTCTTAGAGTCCACAGCGGCAGGGAGCACGGCTTCCGCACTAGTCGGGCCATCCGTATCGTCTTCGTCGCCCAGACTGACCATGGACTCAGTGGACGCGCGCCGAGCAAGCGTGCGTCCCCTCGTGCTTGACGGCCCGGGCACCTCTAAGGGAGCCACAGAGCCGTGACGGGAAGTAGTCGGGGGCGGCGTGTCCACCTCCGGGGCGACAGGAGATCCCGGCCACGTCTGGTCGGCGGGCTCAGCAATATCAGTAAGCGGCGGAGACGGCGGTGCTGGAGCAGGCGCATGCAGACGATCGTAGTGCTGTCGCAAAGCATCCTCCCACTCGGCGGTCAAGAGTCCCACTGGGGCAATGAGGCGGTTAGGGGGAAACCCTGCGTAAGTTGGACCGGCGTGGCGAGGTGGTGCGGGGTGACGAAGCCAAAGGGAACCCGCCGGATTCACCGGAGTCATGACCGGGAGATCGGAGATGTCGTCCTCATCCTCGTCCGATTCCACGTCGGAGTCGAACATCTCCCTGGACCATTCATCCGTGCGATTTCGGTCACTCCAGGCGAGGAAGGTGAGCGCGCGCGCGTAAGGGAAGTTACGCAATATCAGCATGCGGTCGTGCAGATGCCGCCTCCTGACTTCGTGTTCACTGATGCGCGCAATTGAGATCCCGCTCCAGTCGCGACGACCTTCCCGAACGGTTGTCCAGAAGCAACGTGAGCCTTCGCCATGCGCGCCTCCGCGGACGAGGTAGTACTCCGTCCAGGCGCCGAACCGAGCAAGCTCTACGTCCCGTCGGATGCCATCTGCCACTGCTGCACGTACTGCAGGGTCGAGGCTGAGCGCGTCGAGGTCATGCACGCGGTCCCATCCCTCCCATCCCGGGTCCAGCCAGGCAGGCGTAAGATCTGCCGCCGATTCCGCGGTTTCGGAAGGGAGAGAGCTCGGGTAGGTCCATCGGAAAGGTACTCTGCCGAACTCGCGATGAGCAAGAGGGGGCCACCGATTGGCGGGCATCCTTCCATCGATTATAACCTCGGCCAGTGGGGCGTCCCATACGCCGTAAGCGGCGGCCGCGGCATGGAAGGACAAGTCGGGGTGCGAGGGATAAATCCACCCGGGAGGAGCGAGCCAGCGGCGTTGCTCAGGCGGCACGGCGCGTAGCAGAAGCACCGCCCACGACAATACGCGTAGCGCCGAACTGCGCCACTCGTCCATCCACAGCACCAAGTCTTCTCGGGATAGGGAAGTTCCTTGCGCCGGGGGAAACCGCGCAATGTAGTAGTCCGTGTCGTGCACCTCCTGGTCGAATAATTGGGTAGCCCCGCAGGATAGCGCCACTACGTCCCGAGAAACGTGGGTGAGGGCGGCAAACCCCTGCGAGCTCAGGGTATATCGAGCATCCTGGCCGTCAATCGATTGGCGAGCGGTGAGGAACAGCCGGTCGTCGAACGGCCACGCCCACAAAGCGCAATCCGCTAGACGCGAACCTGGCGCGGGGCATAGACGCGTCAGACTCTCCGGCCGAGAGGGATCGTACCAAGTAGCGCCCGGCCACAACCCCTGGTCGTCTCCTAGGAACACCTCCGAGGGCGCGGTTGTGGGGGCTTCCGTCTCGAAAGGAGAAGGACCTGGATCGGTACTTGGCCACGCGTTTCGTTGACCAAAAGTAACGAAATACCCGTACGGCCCGCGGCTGAACGAGACTTCCCGATCCGGGTCGTGCTCGAGGAAGAGCGATTCGGACATAGTGGTGTGAGCGGGCGCGCCCGTGAGATACGTGGGCAGATGGGCGACAAAACGACTGTAGGTGTCGTAGTCGGGATGGACGGTCGCGACGGTGTCCGCATCACGAGGTCTTCTTTCGAGAGGCGGCCTCGGTACGTAAGGGTATAGATGTTCGACGTTCCAGTCGACGTCCAGCCGTCTACGGTCGCTCTCACTGGCCATAGGTCCTGGGTGAGCGTCCGGCTGTGCTCCCACCGGGGGAGGACCTTCACGAGGCGCGCGACCACGACCGCGCCCGCGACCGCGTTCCAACCCGCGCCCTCGTAGGCGGTGAGTCGCTTGAAAATGACTCGGGCCGGCAACCGCGTTGTTCCAGCGTCCTCGGCTTGACGAACTCCGGCTCCCGCGCGGGGGCTGAGATGGAGGGCGATTACCGCCTCTACCATCCCTGCCTCTCGCGTCGCGGCGGCTCATGAGCGGTCGTAATAGAGAGAGAGAGAGTCGGGAAGATGACGCCAGACGGGGGCAGGTACTCTGCCTCACTCAACTGGTCGTCGGGAAGATGGTGGTTAGAGAGAAAGAACGAAATCGATCGCGCGCGTCCTCCCGCGCCGTTCGGAGTTAGCCGGGTGCCGCGTTCATAGCTGATGACGCGCGTTGTAATCCGATAAGAACTGTGGCGCTTCGCGCAAGTCGGCCGCGCTCTGCCACGTATCGTACAACGGGGAGAAACCCTCCCATCGGACCAGGTACTCCCATCTTCTGCGGGACTTGTTGAATCGGTGTCCGACAATCTTCTCGACCGGGAACACATTGGAGTCATCCTGGGGGCCTCTGGTGTCCGGCATTGTGGGCCGATCTCCGAATTCCGTATCGCTGCGCACGTAGGGCACTATGTGAGCGATATTGAATACAGGGTGCCCCGGATATCGCTCGTCCATGCGGAGGCGGTATGTATGCTCGCCGACACGTTCGGCCACTATGAATGGCCCAATAAGACGTTGGACGAGTTTTGCGCCCGAACCCTTGCTTTCCACCAGTTCCAAGGTGTGCGGGTTCAGCAGCACTTCGTCCCCAGCTTCGAAGGAACGG